AGAATGGTACTGCGGCTGGACCTTGGGGCCACCGGAAGCTGCTTTAGAATTCCTCTCTCTAGTTGTATCCTGCCTGCTTAACCAGTGGCTCCTCCCTCTGAGAACTGGGAGGATGGTAATTCCTGGACAGATCATCTGTCTTTATAAGGAGAAAAGTTTGGCAATGTGATTTCCTGTGTGTTTCTGCTGGAGTCCAGGCTTCCTGTAGCACTAGCCCAGACAGCGGTGGCAGCCACCTAGAACCCAGATGTCATTAGTTCTCCCCAGGAAGGACGAGGACATCCTCCCAGCTGCCCTTGCCAAGCCCAAAGGCCGAATCCCAGCTTTATTACACCTCCTGGAGCATGTGGTAAAGGCAGCTCTCCATTTGGCTGCTTTGGGGCTGGGCTTGTTTACATGCTTCAGTAAATGAGTTATGCTTATTGAAGTTGGCTGGGTAGGAGTTCAGAATAAATGACATATGACCACAATTCTGCCACTCACCAGGAGCGCCAGAGTTCAGAAGGGGAGATTTACTTGTATAATAATCCTCTGTAGAGAAGAGAGGTACAAAATCCGAGTATTCCACTCTCAAGAGGGTGGACAGTTTTTGAAGCCTGGGAGAATCAAGAGTGTCACCGTTACTGGCTTTCTGGTGGAGTCAGACAAAACGAGATGTCTGTCTGGTAAAGGCACGTGAGTCGGGGTGCTTTGCACAGTTTTAGAAGAAAAAAGAGAGAGAGACATTGAAAAATAGTGCTTGTAGAAAAAGCTAGAGATCAAAGGCACTTTCAGATGTTCTGCATTTTCTTCTTCAAACATAAAGAATCTGTCTGAGCATAAAAGTCATTCCAGGTCTCTGCAAGGAGGAAATAAAAACGTCTTTCATACAGAAAAGATTTTCTACTTTATACACCTATACACCTCTTTTCAGGCTGCTCCCAGCCTTTGTGTGTGATACGATTTTCTAGTCTCCCTGCAGCAGGAAATGGTCATTAGAACAACATGTTGAGACAGAAGGACCCTAAAGTCAGTCTTTATTTTCTCCCTCCCTCCTCTGCCCCTGCAAGAACCTGGAACATCCTGTAGTTCCTACAGGCTGTTTATGTGACAGTTTACAGAACAGCGACGCTGCTCACTGCTTCCACCCTGCTGCCGCCGCCTTCTGATTCATTTGACTTACTCCTCCATTCCTCAAACTGTATCCAGGTCTTAACATCCTTTAAAAAATCATTTGAGTCATTTTATCTTTATGTTGGGTTTTTAAGGCTCTGTTTAAAAAGAAATGCAAACCAAAGAAATGCATAATACAAAAAAAGAAGAAATCCCGTAAGATATTGCCACAAAGAAACTACTACAGAATCTAGTGTGTGTCCTTTCAGGCCTGCTCAAAAATCTTCTGAGCCTCCCTCCCGTTCTTGGATCACTGCAGCAAGTCTCTCCTCTGTATCTTCCGGTCAGTGGCAGGCGGCTCCATCCTGTCCTTACTGAAACCACCATTTTTTATAACAACACTTAAGAGCCATTTCTGTCTGTCTCGGCTACAACAGTACACGGCAAGGGAACAGTGGCAGAGAGGGAATGGCCGAGCTTTGGAAGGCTTGGAATTCCAGGACAAGGAATTTAGATTTTCGGCAAAGACTTAACAAATAATGTCAATTCTTCACTCTCTTAATATATTGTTTGAACTTAGATTGCCTTACATGTCTTTTAATTGTATCAGATGGCTTCAGAAGTAAATATTTGAACACATTTCCGGGTCCTTAGCTGCATCTAGTTGTGAGATCTGTTGCTAACATGGGACCTTTAACTGGCTTCACTGGGTCTGTAGGTTTGCAGCTTTATGTCTTTATCATAGTTTTTTAGACACAGTTTATATTAATCTGTTCAGTAAACAGGGAGTTTCTATGTGAACCAGGCATATTCTTTGCAGCAAAGGATATACCAAATGGTGAACTCCTTAAGCGTAGCGGCCAGGTTTAATTCATTTTTAAATTTCCCTGTCTTTGCACAGTGTCTTCCCCTTGCAGGTGTTCAGTGGATGTTTGTTGGATTAAGCGCACATCCTGCCTCTTTCCTGCTGTCCACATCAGCAGAGCTTAAGCAAAGGCCTCTTTTTTTCAAAAAAGGAAACTCCCATCTTTTGCCTCATATCATGTTTCTTACTATCATGTTCCCATGAACTCTCACCTAGTAAGGACAAGCTTGTTCAACTCCAGTTTCTACAATTCCCAGGACTTTGCTCCTGAAATGTCTAGAATAGCCCTGTCCAATAAAAATACAAGCCCTGTATCTAATGTTTAAAAAAATTTTAGTAGCTACATTTTAAAATTTAAAAGGAAACAGGAATTATACCAATTTGAATAATTTATTTAACCTATTATGTCCAAAATATCATTTTAACATGTTGAAATATTAATATTTTACATTACTTTGTTCATATTCAAAATCCAATGTGTATTTTGCACTTATAGCCCTAACCACATGAGGCTAATGGCCACCTTATTCGACAGCCAATATTGGATAAAAAGACTGGACAAAAGTCTTTGAACTTCCGTGTTCTTACCATGTAAATAATTAAATTCAGATGGGACAAGAGAACCATAAAACTATCCATCAAATTGGCTCCATCATTGGCAAAGGAGCTAAATTCAGGTAAGACAGAATTACTTGCTAAGTGACTTGTAATTTAGCTTACTGTTTCTTTTTATGCCAATTTTGTAAGCTACTCTTAGGTTTTTCATCATTAGGTAAAGCCCATAATTCAAAAACCATCCAGACTTCTGCCCTTCTTCCCCTCCCCCTCCTTTTTTTGAAATGCTTGTGAGCTATGAGCATTTCTCTGGGGGCTTCATCCTTCCCCAGACCTTCCTTTTCATCTCTTCCTGCTTCACTGGCTTTCTAGAGTCTATAAACGATTGGAATTTTCTCTTTTCCTTCTCCACTGAATGTCACATCTTCTCCAACACTGACCCAACACTGGGTTCTCCAGAAACTTGAAATATTTACATTGTTTATCTTAACATTCCTGCTAGTAGAAATGGGATTCCATTTATTAATCAGGCTGACACTGCATCATCTGAGACATTTCAGAGTGGAGGAGTAGGAAGTTATTCAGTTAAAAATATAAAGCCAGACTTGGTAGCTCACATTCCTAAAACCTATAGGAAACAATGTGATTGATAGAGACAAGCAAATTATCTCAAATTAAATAACTATTTGCCAGAAATGACAAGAGAGTAGGCAAAGCCATGTTTGGTAGGTAAGTGGAAGAACCAGAAAGGGTTGACTGCTGAACCTTGGGCTCATGGGGAGAGAACAGTGGGATGGGAACTTAGGGAACACGTTTTAAAACAAAGTTTTGGACAGGAACGCAAGTGTGATAAACATGGTGGTCAGGAGAAGAATCACTGTTATGTCCACTGCACAGAGAGGAGATGCTTCAGACAAATTTTAAGCCTCGACTAGAGATCCCAGTTCATTGTTCTTTACCTTGTACCACCTCTCTTGTAAAAAAAAAAAAAAAAAAATTGAATGTGGACATGGGCAAGATAATAAGCAATAATTAGGAAGCTAGAATTGTAGCACCAGATGTGCAAAGAAACTTAACCATGTTGTAAGTGTCTTCATTTAGACTAAGTGGTATTGATCCCTATATCCCATAACATCTGTTCAGTGCCTAGCACTGAATAGATACTGGTTGAAGGGACTAAGAAGTGTGAATTGTGGGCATACTTACCAGGTTCTAAGTGACAGGTTAAACAAAGGAGAAAGATGCTGCAGATTGATTAAGAGGCTGGGGAGGGAGGGAGTACCCAAAGGTAGAAGGAAGAGGGAATGAATGGGAAAAAAGATATTCTACAGCTTAAAGAGCTCTTAAGAAAAGCACAAATAGGGGAGAACGAAAACACTCGAAAATAAGCAGCAGTTTGAATTTATACTGTACTCACTGCCTGTAACGTGCGCTCTGGCTCTGGGGGACAGTGTCTGAGTGAGACCCAGCATGCCAGTTACTCAGGAATCTAAGAAATTACACGTTCAAAGCTTTTGAATCTGTATGTCCGGGAAGTCATGATTCTAATGTCCTGGCTGATTGGTCGTTATCTGCACACAAATCAAAGTACATTTCCAGCGCCACCCCTTCTCTTGAAGCTTTGGCATCAGCTTCTCTGTGTTAATTTTAAGTTATCACAATTCTAATAGCAAAAATTTTATATTATTCCAAATAGACAAGAAAAAATACTTTCCATGTAAATGTTTAAAACAATTTTGTAAATATTTAGGTATCTACACAGATCAAATAATGCAGCTGTGGATCATTAAAAAGGGTCAACTCACATAAGTGAATGGACCCAGGGCTCTGTCTAACTGGAGTTTACTTCCAGTAGTCACCTGCCATTGATTCTATGAGTTCACATTAGAAATACACTTGTCCCCATTAGCACATCATGCATACTTTCTCAAATACAAAACGATTTCAGCTTAAGACTTTCTTTAAGCTTAACCTGGATCAAGATTTCTCAGAATCAGCTTACCCCCCTCGTGAGGTAATTCAGTTACAGATCTTCATTAATGCTGGTTTAGTTTGGGAAATTGTTTCAGTCTTTGGATCTCTGCAGTGCTAAACTACTACTTTTTACTGTAGTTTGCAAAAATTATGATCTAATTATTTTCAAGTGGACTTGGGTTAACAAAATGCAGCAGTGGGTGTGCCTTTTAGCAGCTGAACAGACCACTTTTTACATTCCTTAGAAGTAAGATATGGTTCAGTATTTTAAATCATAGCAACAGTTGATAAGAAAAACAGCAAAAAGGTAATCATTTCCATATGGAAAGAAAAGGAAGAAACCAGTGAATCTGTGAACTGTCATTTTTCCATATAAAAATAAGTCACCACTGGTAGATCTGGCAGAAAGGGCAAATGTTCCTGTTGTTTCCCATTTTACATTTGTTAATACAGTGCATGTGACAGGTTTTACTGAAACACACCATTCCCTTCAAACGCAGCTGCCAGTGTCCAAATGTGTTTGTCCTTCTGAGTAAACCCACATTTGTACGTGTCAGTTTCATCCAGCATGGTATTTCCTTGGTGATATTTTCTCAACTTAGTGAAATTTCGGTGAAAGCTCTTACCCCTCTTACTGAAAGGCATAACCATCTTCCGCATCAGTCAAATACCTGTAATTTTAAAACACTGATCGAATAATATCAGTTCCTGCTCTGGCATTCTAAGATCTAAAAGAAAATTGCAATTTTTGGATGCCCTGAAAATTTAAGAAAAGCAAACAAAGTAAACATTTACTTATTCATCTTTGTATTAAAGCCTGATATACATTTATTAACAAAATCCTGACATTTATTTTTAAATAGTTGCCTAAAGTAGAAAATCTTGGAGCGGAAGGCATAGCTCAAGTGGTAGAGCTCATGCTTAGCATGCACAAGATCCTGGGTTCAATCCCCAGTACCTCCTCTAAAAAATAAATAAACTTAATTACCCCCCCCAAATTAAAAAGAAAAGAAAATCTTACCCTGTTACAGAATAATAGTCAAAATAGATATTCACACTATTTGACAACAGCTCCCTCTTGTGGTTCAAAGCATTCACTTCAAAGATGATTACCTTTAAATACAGAATTAACAATTCCTTAGCTTCAAATTGTGCTGTACAAGTTTAGCTCATATTTAGTGAATGCTTGTTTGGAATGAAGAGAGAAGTTTTATGAACATGAGGACAAAGAATATTCCCTTTTTTGGAAAGCTCCAGAGTTCCAATATCTTAGCAGTGTTCCCAAAGTTTTTTAAAGAAGCACCATTTTTTTTCTTACAAAGGAAAACAACCAAGTAGATGTTTTCTTTGAAAACATGCTCCATTTAAAAGATTTCCCTCCTTTTCTGTGGGTGTACTATGCAGGAGGAATCAGCATTTAATTTTGTTACTTTAGCAGATAGGAATTTGAAAAACTTACAGAGAAAAGTGTCAAAAATATTTTAGTCCAAAAATGACTTAAGTACTTCTTCCCCTTTGCTCAAAATCAGAGGTTCCTGTAACTGGCAATAACCTGTTCTAACAATGCGAAACCGTCCAAAAAGTCCTCTTCTTCAATTCCAAATTTTGTATACTGATGAAGGTAGGCTCTGGTGAAAGAAACAGAAAATGTGAAATAAAAATCTCAAGCAAATGAATAACTCTTAAAATCAAACAATAAATACACTTTTCCTAGCTCACGAACATTTGAAGATGGCAGACTCTCTTAAAAGTCGTTATCTTTGCTTCAGTGTTTGCTCCAAAGGTTAGCAAACTTTCAAAGTTTATGTCTATTTAACGTCTAAGAGTGTGACAATAAGAAACATGTAGGAAAAAGCAGCCCATTCAGGTGTGGCGTCTACCCGGCACGTATTCATCACCCTGCGGGAGATGACTGGGTTCAATATAAACTCTAAAAAGTGCCTAAGATGTTTTATCTAAGGCTTGACACTGTAGAAACACATTGGTCTGGTCCCCGAGATGAGGTGAAGGCTCCTAAGTGTTTTTCTGACACTTAATTTCCAGCTATTCCAGGTGGTCCTCTTAATAGCCCATCCCCCCAAAATGTTCTGAGGCAGGAGAAATCATGTTAAAAAGAATATTAAGGGCAGGCATGAATTAAATTGATGAAACAATGGCTGCTACCATTTAATGAGAGTGGGAAGAGAACTACACCAGAAAAGGATCAAGAGGTCACAGCCCTGAGGAGTGGGGGCTTATGGAGTGGTCACGTGCAGGATCGGGGGGGGTCCTTGGGAATCCTGGCTAATTAAAGTAGAAGCTTAGCCCATCATTTGAGGAATTTGGCTTTGACATTATGCAATTGTGCCAGAGGTCAGGAAACCTGATAACACAATTCTTAGTATCAAGTAGATACTTTTTTAGTATCAAGTGGAGTTGAAGATGCAGTATTTCTTACTGAGCAAGATCAGGATTTCTTCTGTTCTCAAGGATCTTGTTTTGGAAAACAATCTTATTGTCCTTGCCTTATAATGAAATTTCTACTTTCATTTCATTTCGTTTAGAAACTACTCATTTAGTCAACAACAACAACAATAATAATATGGAACAATTATTGAGCATTTACTAGTTAGGCACTGTACTCGGGTATTTTTTACATTATTATCTCATTTAATCCTTGCCACATCTTCACTCTCAGTTTGGACCCATCGTACAGAAAAAGAAAGGAAATGAAGAAAAGTAACATGCCTCAAAATTTATACCTACAAAGTGGTAGCCATGCCTGCTCATGCTATCAGATTGAACGTGCGCTCCCCAAATCCATCCGTTGAAGATGTAACTCCCAAGGTGATGTTTCTAGGAGGGAAGGCCTTTGGGAGGTGATTAGATCATATGAGTGATCAGATTCTGGGCCCTGATGAGTGCGATCAGTGTCCTCATAAAAAGAGGCCCAAGAAAGCTCCTTTGCCCTGTCTGCTGTTTGAGCACACAGCAAAAAGATACCACCTATGAACCAGGACGTGTGTCTTCACCAGACATCGAATCTGCCAGCATCTTAATTGTGGACTTTCCAACGTCTAGAACAGTGAGAAATAAATTTCTGTGGTTTATAAGCTACCCAGACCGTGCGATTTTTGTTAGAGGCCCAAATGGACTAAGACACTCCAGATCCTGCCTTGCGTTTTAACATTATATTATCTGCCTAAGGTTAGAAAAGGTTCGTAGACTTATTTTTTACTTACTTTGAAGCAAACATATTCCACGCTTTGCCTACAATCATATCCAGTGGTTTTACTAAGGACTGGCTATTGCTGACCAACGCTGCAGACTTCTCATATTTGCTGAAGGCTCGCTGGGTCTTCCACACGTTGAAAGCGGTAACAGGCTCTAACCAGGAAGTATAGAGAGCTGGATCTTTAAACGCCCCTACAGTAAAACGACATAAATCATCAATTCTGGAAACAAATTAATAAACAGATACTTTCATATCCATTTCACCAAAAGTCTTTTGTTTTGCCTTTTAAACTAACTTTATATTGCTTTTGGATAAATGAGCCATATGTAGCATAAAAAACTAATAATTCAGAGCATTCAGCAAAGTATTACGAAGAAAATTTAAAAGTCAACTGAACAGCTGAAATGTCACCACCCAGAGATGATGACTATGAACAGTCTGCTGACCCTTTTTTGTATTATCATTTTTTAAAAATTGAAGTGTAGTTGATTTACAATGTTGTGTTAGTTTCTGGTGTACAGAATAGTTATCAGTCATATATACATGTATATATATACATCCTTTTTTATTATAGGTTATTACAAGATATAGAATATAGTTCCCTATGCTATACCATAGGAAACTTTACACACATGCTTTTATATAATATGCCCTCTTTTTTTTTAACTTTTTTTTTATTGAGTAATAGTCATTTTACAATGTTGTGTCAAATGTAATATGTCCTTTTCAATCACCAGTATGTTGTAAACTTCTTTTCCACGTCAATAAACATCACCCATATTTAAAGTCTCCTTAGATGAATATACCGTAATTTATTTGACACATTTCCTACTGTTGGGCATTTAGGTTGTTTCAACATTTCTGTTAGTGTGAAAGATACTGCAGTGAATCTCTTTGCAAGAACACCTCTATGTATCTGCATCATTTGCTGTGGGTAAATCTTTGGAAGTTAGATTATACATCTTTTTATTAATTCTTCTATGTTAAAATCTAAAATGAAGAATATGATGAACGTACACCATCTGACTGACTTGAAATGATCTCTTTTTAATTATTACTAGTGTTTTATTTAAAGGGTTATTACATGCGACAATGAATATATGTATGTTTATGTATAACTGAAAAATTGTGCTGGAATTTGACACAACATTGTAAAATGATTACAAATCAATAAAAAAATGTAAAAAAAAAAGAGTATTGCACGGATGAAATTGTTTGGTTTTCTTTCTATCACAGCTGGAAGCAGCCAACTGGATGCTGCTGGACTCATCAGATAAGGAGAATATAAACCTAGAGACTTTGCCGCAGAAACACAAAGCTAATAGACTACTGCTCTTTCGGCTTCCTTACAACGTTCCGTACGATGCTTGTCACGGAGACCATTAGTTGTCCCGCAAAGCATGTTCTCCTTTTCTTCTTTAGTAACAGAACCCCCGAATTTCAACTGTGCTCACAGCCATCCTTGCAGCTAGATGTGGCTCCCAGTTCAAGTCAAAGGGCTATAAACACAAGTGTGGTGTGTGGCCCTAGGAGGAGGGGGCATGCCCTTCTTTGCTTATTCCTATGTGATCTGATGGCTGAAGTTCAAACAGATGTCTTGAACTATAAGGAGGAAGCCACAAAGTGAGGATGACAAAGCAACCAGGTTCAGGAAGAAAGAATTAATCTTGTCTCTTGTTTACATCACTTCTGTTTTGGTGTCCAGTCACATACTAATTGATACGATGGTTACGTTTTGCTACTAAAACAGATAGTTATTATTTTCCTTTCTTTAAGAATAAATTCAGGGACTTTTTTTTTTACCATGTGTACCACGTACATGTGCAAAATATACATATTAATTTTTGCCTTAACTTTTGCTTACCCAGATCCGCACTGTGCACATCTTTCCCACGAAGGATGACCAAGTTAGCAATGGAAGTGTTAAAATGAAACTCCTTGGTGAGAGGCATTTTTCCAAGAGTAGGAAGTCCTGATAGAGGAGGCCGTACCTGCCAATCAATACCTACCAAAATTTTAAAAAGCAAGAGATTTTACAAATGGCTTTGAACAAGAAGAGAAAAATGTATTACAGGATGTATATTTTACATAAATTTCCATTTGATCAGTATAAGTTGTCAAAACTTGTCAATTAAATTATTTTGGGGCGAGGGTATAGCTCAGTAGTAGACTGCATGCTTAGTATGCATGAGGTCCTGGGTTCAATCCCCAGCACCTCCAATAAAAATAAATAAATAAATAAATGAGCCTAATTACCTCCTCCCAAAAAACAAACAAAATAATAATTTTAAAAATTAAAATTAATTAATAAAAATTTTAAAAATGTCAATTAGATTATTCACTTACAATAAATTTTATACTTATTCAGAGTTCTTTTAGAGTAAATTAGGTTTATATTAAAAAAATCATACATCATTCTTGAGCATACATAAAAATATATATATAACAAAGTAAGTTGGTTAAGGTTTTCCTAAAACGTTTTCACATTCAGTGACTTTATCACTCTTTGACTCGGCATTAATGATGCCTGTGTTTTTTCACACATTATTGTCCTTGTGTCCCTAGAACATGGAGCAGCATTCCTTAAGGGAATCCATGAAAATGCGAAGTCACTGGCTCAGTCATGGTGAGCACGTCTACCTTTAGCTTCAGCTTAAGGAATGTTGCTAAACTGGTCTGTTTATCATGCTGACTGCTTCTTCCCCACCCTAGCAGAAAGCTAAAGGTTTATTTTCTGGAGAGGATATGATTGAGGGTCTCTGGTCTGAAGAACACCAGACAGAGGTAAGGGCAGGGTTTGTACCAAAAGCAGAGAGCTCAGGTGAAAACTAGGAAAACCACGACCCTCCCTTCTCTGCCCCTAGGTCACTGGGGCTTTGTCTCTCTGAGCAGAATCTCCAACACAGCGAACAGGCAAACAGAATATCCAGGATAACAAAAGAACCTTGCTGAAGAGGGCAAAAAAAAAATCCAGACTGAAGCAGGTCAAAAGCTCTCGGGGAAATTTCTAAAGAAGATGAAACTGACAGTATACCTAAACACAGGCAGACCTCGGAGATTTTTGGAGGTCTGGTTCCAGCCACTGCAATAAAGTGAATTATCACAATAAAGCGAGTCACACAAATTTTTTGGTTTCCCAGTAATTACAAAAGTTATTTTTACTACTATACTGTCACTACTATAATGTAGTCTGTTAATCTGCAGTAGCATTATGTCTAAAAAAAACCAATATACATACCTTAATTAAAAAAACACTGTATTGCTAAAAAATGCTAACCATCATTTGAACCTTCAGCAAGTTGTAATTTTTTTGCAATAGTAACATCAAAGATCACTGATCACAGATCACCATGATAAATATAATGATAATGAAAAAGTTTGAAATATGAGAATTATCAAAATTGTGATACAGACACGAAATGAAATGCTGTTGGAAAAATGGCGCCAACAGACTTGCTCAATGCAGGGTTGCCACAAACCTTTGGTTTGTTAAAAAACACAGTATCTGCAAAATGCAATAAAATGAGGTGTGCCTGCATATCAAGAAAAAATTCAGACAAGTAGAGAAACAGGACTGAATAATTGACAGGTACGTAGAAAAACTAAGCAAATAGGAGAACAAAGCGATTATTAACTCCAAAGAAAATTTAAAAATTACACAGGAAGGGAACAGTATTCACAGGATACTCCGTCGCCCAGCTGTGAATACCATGTATTTGCTCATGATGATGTAAAGCTCAGTATTGGTTTAATCCAGTGATGACACCACCACTATATTAAAAGGATGAGGAGACAGAGGATGTTTTAGGGCTTAGGGGCCAGTTTGAGAAAAAAGCTAAATCCTAACCTTCCATGGTGGGAAGTAAATAATTAAAAAATCTATAAACGGCAATGTGTAGATAAATACAGCAAAAGAGTTCTGAAAAACAGTTGTCTCTGGGAGGGAGACAATAGACGAAGGCTATGGACTAATAATTTTAACAACCAGAGTTGTAGAATTACTTGACTTTTTAATCTATGTATATATAATGTTATAGCACATGTATAGTACACAACTTTGTAGCTACTAAAAAGAATAAGGCATGTCTAAATGTACTAAATTGGAATGAAAGCCACAAAATATGTTGAAAAAAGGTGTGGAACAAAAAATGCATATAATATGATGCCAGTTTAATTTTTAAAGTCTTTAAGGGGAGGGTATAGCTCAGTGGTAGAGTTCATGACTTGCATGCACAAGGTCCTGGGTTCAATCCCCAGTATCTCCATTAAAAAAAGCAAATAAATAAATAAATCTAATTAACCTCCCCCCTCTGCCAAAATCTGTTTACGTACACCCTTAGAATTCTGACTCTCTAGTTCTCACATGAATTAATTAATAAATTAATCCAAACTAGCCAAAAATAAGTCAACTAATAGAATAAAATTTTTAAATATGTTTTAAATAAATAAAAGTAAAATTATAATATAGCTTGGTTCAGAGGGCCAAGCCAAAAGCCATGGAAAAGTCTTCCCAGGTCTTACATTTTAATCAAGAAATTGTCAGCGTGAGCCCTGCTGAATCCTTATACGCCAATGGCTCCCATGTGCCTTTCATTTCCCCCCTTTTGAAAGGGAGTGTCTACCAGTCATCCTGCGCCTGCTCCACCATGGTCTGTTGGCGGTGGGGTGTCCTTAAAGAGCTACACTCAGGAAATCACACCTGAGGAGTGTAAATCCACACCTGGACCTGGTTTTACAGGACAAGATTCTGGACTTTAGGCTGAGGTGCTAATGAGATGTAACTCTGGGGGGCATGGGAGGGATTCAGTACATTCTGTGTATGCGAGGGCATGATTCGTTAGAGGACAGAGACTAGCAGCCAGCCTTCAGGATGAACCCCAGGGATCCTTGCCTTCTCCCCATGGGATAGGCCTGACTTTAATAACCAAAAGGTTGGTGCAAAATGATGGTGTGTCACTTCCAAAACTAGGTCATAAACGACAGTGTAACTTCTGCTCACTCCCTCTTGGATCAACTCACTCCTCCTGTTGCTGGGATATGTAGAAACAAGATACATTGCTGATGGCAATATTAATGGAGCCAATCTGCATACAGAGTAGTCTGACACACATAAAGAGTTTTAAAACTTCATCCTTCAGGGTGTTTAATGACATTAACATATTTATTCATATATTAATATTCATATGGAAACATTTATATGTTCAAAACTCTTGTCTATAATTGTGAGAAAACGTTGACAGTTTAAATTCCCAGATTGGGGGATGGGGAAGGGTATAGCTCAGTGGTAGAGCACATGCTTAGCATGCTTGAGGTCCTGGGTTCAATCCCCAGTACTTCCATTTAAAGAAATAGAAAAATAAAAATAAATTCTCAGATGGGAAAATGACTAAACAGACTGGTTTACTGACCTAAGCAGCACATCTCACCCTGAGGAACACTGTGTTCCTTGAGATGATAACAGGTATTCCTAGAAAAACAGGTACTGCGGCCGAGAATTCCAGGAAGCATTAAGATGGGAACTTTCTGCTTATCTGCAAACCTCAGGCACTATTATCTAAAATCCATTAGGTACTACAAGTACATGTAGAGGGAATTACGTTCACATTATTGAAACCTAACTTACTGTAATTTGTGGTCAAATATATGCTACTGAAATAATACACAGTAGTGACTACCAGTTAAATGTGACAGACTAAACACACCAGTTTACTCCCTAAATCTCACTAACAAGACATTACAGTGATTTTTTTAAAAGGCATAAACAAGAAAAAAAAATGGCATGGGGAGAGAAGATGACGGTAACAAAAATTTGGAAATCAAATGAACCAGTAGTTACTGACTTAGCAACCAGGGGAGGGGAAACGTCTGCCTACAGTGGAGGTCCTGGAAGCAGGCCAGGTACTTCTGAAAGAGGACGAGACGGGAGGATTAGTTAAAGATCCGTATGAGAAGCAGTTAAGAGTCCCAGACTCTTCCCCAGTGAGGGGAGTGCCCCCTCCATCCATCAAGATGCTTCCTGCTCAGGAAAGGCTAAACCAGTGAGGCTCTGAAAATACAGCAGTAAACCCAACAGATAAGGATCTCTGCCCTCATAAAGTTTACTGCCTCCTGAGATACAGCAAAAATCCACACTAAGGAATTCCAGAAGGCTAGAGACAAAGAGAAAAGAATCCTAAAAGAGACAAGAGAGAACAAAACAGGATTAGGAATCGAATTAAAGTGGGACTTCTCAATAGCAACACTGGAAACTGGAAGATAACAGAGCAATGCCTTCAAAATACTCAGCAAAAATGACTCCCAACCTCGAATCCTTTACCTGGACAAACTATCAACCAAATGTAAACGGAGAATGGTGACATTTACAGCGTTAAAATTTTTACCTTCCGTGTACTCTTTCTTAGGAAGCTCCGAGAGGGTAGGGTCTATCAATAGGAGGGAAGGAACCCAGAAAGAGGAAGATGTGAAATCCAGGGAACAGAGGCCAGAGCACAGAAGGAGGCAGAGACGCCAGTGCTGGCTGCTTATCAAGCCTGGAGAGTAGCCAGTGCAGACTGGACAGGAGGAAGAAGGCCTCCCGAGGGGACATCTCCAAGCAGACAATGGAAATGATGATTACCTGAGAGGTCTGAACATGATGGTTTCATTTTTACGGAAAAGTTTAGGGGTAGACTAGTAATAGGTACGAAGAATAGCAACCAAATCAAAATACTTATTAACTCTAGGAGGGAAAAGTAAACTGTATGTGAAATAAAAGGTGATAATCTGTGTGTACAGTCCATAGCTCCACTGTGAGCACTATTTACATAGCAAGAATAACACAATAATACAAACACTGAAAACTGATCTAACCCAAAAGTATGTTTTAACTAGATTAGGAGGAGGGAGGACGGAGTAGGGTGTGTGTGCCCTATATGTGTGTAGGGGGTGGAAGAAGATTCAATTCTCAACTTCACTTTAGGCAGGCAACTGATAATATCTAAACCTGGAAAATGAAAAAAAAATAACAGTATAAGCAAGACCTTTAGAAGTATGGAGGCAAATTCCACAAGAGATAGCTAAAAACATTGAAAGTTGTTTCTGCTGGGCAGTAGGGAAGTGTAGGATAGGCTGTTCTCTTCCTCATTATAAATTCATGCTGGACAATTACTTGACTTTAAAAAAAAATTGAGATGTAATTTACATAGAGATGTCCAGACTTAAGTATACACTTAAATGAATTTTGACTATTTGATTAAAAAAATTATGTTCATATATTACTTTGAAAAAAATTAAAATAAAAGTAAATGTCAGGGGGAGGGTATAGCTCACGTGGTAGAGCGCATGCTTAGCATGCATGAGGTCCTGGGTTTGATCCCTAATACCTCCCCTAAAAATAAATAGACCAAATTACCTCCCCCTGAAAAAAAAAAAGTAAATGTCACACTAATTTGAAAATTTTTTTTTTGAGAAATGAAACTGTGAAGTGATCAAGAAGTCCTACTGGGATGTTCTGGTGAGTTTTTACAGGAGCCTCCCTCACCAGAAGAAGGCACCATTATTTCAACTGGCCCATGGCAGTGTGTATCAGGAAGCCTGGGACGGGCATTCTTCCCAGCTTGTGGGCTGCATATTTTAAAAATATCCCTTACCTTCTTCCATTTTCGCATCAGAAATGAGCATCTGTCTCAAATGCTTGAGGAGGCCAGCCCAAGTAAACGTGCTGTATGCCAGGGAATTCTCAGACATTTGAGGAATGTTACGAACACCCAGCATCTTGAATTCTGGATGGGGAACCAAATCCTCCATTAAGTCTCCTGCAAAGAAAAAAACAATTTTTTTGAACTAAATTTTTAAATTCCACATTGTTTCTGCTAGCTCATATACAACCACAATTTGATGGCTTGGGGGCCAAATGTGTTTTCTCCTCCAAGGCCAAAATTGCTTAAATTTTACAATGTAAATACAATTTCAGTGACAATATCTATTACAGACCACTTATTTGCTTGATTTGGGCACCGACTTTGGCCTGGGTGACAAAACACACTTTGCCAAAAAGGAAACAAAGAGTTTCTTTTCAGCTAAGTGACTGGAAATGCGAATGAAATATGTAGCTAAATCCCAGGAAAACAAAGTGAACAGGAGCGCTAATGTGCTTTTACTGTCATTCTGTATTCATTAGATATTCCTTTAGAAATTTCCCTAGATCTCTTATTTACTTTATCTGGTTAAATGATAATCAGAACCTGTTAATATCAAACTCTACTAGGAAAGAAGACAGGATCAGTAATTCCTGAAGACAAGAATATGCCTACCGTTAGAACATTGTATTTGTAATGAAACAATTAAGGAGACAGGCTAATTTGTTTTTCATCCAGAGCTTATTTGATATATTTTAAAAAATCTTTAAAGTTTTAATATACCTTTTATATTTTTATGTATTTTATATTTTTTATATATGTATAGAAAATACCTAGTGAAGAAAGAAAAATATCTTACCATAACATGAAGTTAGAATTTTATGATAACATTGAATGCAAATTCATATCCTAACAGAAAGAACAACCTTTGATACAAATGTCTACAAAATGCCGCACAAATTGATCTTAACGGCTAGTGGAGTTTCATTTAAACATAAGAATCCTTTCTGTAAAATACCTAGAGCTAAATTCTATCGCATAACATGCATAAACAAACAACAGCCAGCAAGTAATTCCTGAGCACTGGTGCACAGATTGTTACAATCTGCTTTTCCCTCCAGCTTTCTTTTTCATTTACGCCCTCATTTGAACCATCCTTTTTTTTTAACAGCAACATTATTTATAATTACCAAGATATGAAATCACCTTAACCATTCTTGACAACTTGTCAAACCCTGGTATGGACTCAAAGTTTGTGTCCCCCCCCCAAATCCACACACTGAAACCCTTACCCCCAAGGTGATGGTATTAGGAGGGGATAGGAGAAAGTGGGGCCTTTGGAGGTGAGGTCTCATTATAAAAAGAGACCCCAGAGAGGTCTCTCGCCCCTTCTGCCATGTGAGGACGCAGTGAGAAAATGACCATCTGTAAACCCGGAAGCGGGTCCTCTCCAGGCACTGAAATGACTGGTGCCTTGATCTTGGACTTCCCAGCCTCCAGAACTATGAGGAATACACGTCTGTTGTTTTGTATAAGACACTCAGGCTATGTACCTCTGTTATGGCAGCCTGAGTGGACTGAGACAGAGCCCAAGCTGTGGACCCTTGATTTATTTATTTTGTTTTAAAATTAATTTATTTTTTGACCCCCGCCTCCCCACACCGATTTCTCAATCCTCAGTCTTGCCCTTTCTTCACTTGCCTCTTTACTCATCTCCTCACCCCTCTGTCTCTTCATCAAATCTTTCTGGTGAAAATCCAATCTTGGCTCAGCCCCACTCCTCACATTATCTGTGCCTGTCAGAAAGGCACCCCACATGGCAGACTGGGGCCCCCTCGGAATTCACAATCCACAGACACTGATGCCCACTGATGCTGATGCTCTGATATCTCCACAAACACCCGAGTGGAGCCACGTGGATATCTGAGGTCATTTAGTGCAGAGACCCAGGGGCATGGCAGGCATATCTGGAAAACGGTGTGGAGGTCAGTGTGATTGGAAGAGAGTGAGTGAAGGAGAGCCGGGTAGGATATCAGATCAGGAAAGTAATGAGAGACCAGATAGAGCAAAGCCTTGTATGTGACTCCCGTGGGTGAGATGGGAAGGTTTTGAGTAGGAGAGTGACCAGATCTGATTCAACCCTTTCAACACCGTAAAGCCAGAGTTCAGTCTGGCAGCTGCACTTAGGAAATGGCTGTGTGTTGGCAAAGGTGGAAGTGGTTAGACTAGGTGAGCTGTCCTCCGGCCAACTGGCTCCACTTAGGTGTTTGAAGATGTCACTAAAATACGGCAAAGGCACCCACACTCAGCACGTCTAAGACCCACCTCTTTGCCGCAATGTGCCCTGTAAATCAGGGCCTTTTCTAGTGTCTCCAGCCTCTGCTAACAGCACCACCATCTATACTGCTGTGTAAACCAGGGTCCCAGGAATTATGCTCTACACCTCTCATTTCCTAGATGCAATCCAGCACCTACTCCTGTCTATTTTACCCCACACCCAATCTCTCTCAAATCCATTCTCCTTACTCTATCTTCATTTGTTTTGTCCCACTTAGCAAGGACCTACTATATGGCAGGCACCGCTCCAAGGACATGGGATACGGTGAACAAGCCAGACTAGGTCTTGCCTTCACAGAGCTTCCATTCTAGTGAGTAGAAACAATGAATAAAAAAGGTAATAAACAAACAAAAGAATGACAGAGAGTAAAAACTCCTGGGAAAGAAGCCAACAGGATGATACTATAGGCAATCACTCCACAAAGAGGACACTGGAGGAAGGCTATTTAAAGGAGGTAACAGTGAGCTGACACTCGAAAGATGAAAAGGGAATACGGTCAAGATAATATTCCTGGGAGAGGGAGCAGGAAGACAGGAGGGCAGTAAGAATAGCCACCCTGGTGAGCATTATAGGAAATTATGAGGAGGTCCCTACCTAGCTCCTGAGCTCGTGAGCAAGGGGAGAATGCAAGAGAGGAGAGAAACTGGAAGAAGGAGACAGATCACATACAACCGAAACCACTGTAGGCTCTACTGTAAGAAATTTGGACCCAGGTTTTTAAAATTGAGCAACTGAGGGATTGAGGAAGGAATAGGGTTCTGGGGGAAAGCTAAGTCACCTGTTTTAGGCACATGTTTGGGATGTCCATGTGTACATACAGATGTTGAGAAGGCCGCTGGACACAGAAATCTAGAGCTTAGGGAATTGATCAGAGTTGGAGAGTAACTGGTAGGTTGGAGGATACAAATAGTGTTTAAAGCCATGGAACTGGGTTAGTCACCTGGGGAGAGGGTCCAAGACCAGCACTTAAAGCTTAGGAAAAGGAAGAGGGGCCTAAAAAGGACGAAAAAAGAGAATAAAAGGGTTAATGACGAGTGAGGATGAGTGATGAGCGAGGAATTAAGTCCCTGAGAAGAGAAAGGGGGACCCAGAACCCAGGCGAGAGGCTGGCCTTTGACAGGAGCAGGACACTTCTCCCCCGGGACAGAAAGGAAAGGGCAAACGTGGCCCCAACGCCATTAAGTTTGCACATGGTGCTAGGAGTCAAGGGAGCACCCGTCTACCTTACTGCTTTTATTTTCTGAGTACAGTTCCCCAGAATGTGTTTGCTTGTCTTTAAAAGTAACACACCAGGAATGTCCACGTAAGCCAGGAATGTCCATGTAGATGTGAGCTTCTATTTTTGTGCGAAAAAGAAAAAGAAAGAGAGAGGAAAAAGGACGCAGAGAAAATAGAGAGAACTTTGTATTCAGGGGGAGTATGCAATATTAGTTGAGAGATACTGACCAACTGAACCAATGTCAGAGAGACAGTGAGGGAGGGAAGAATGCAGACAGATGGCAGAGATGGCAGTAACAGGCTTGAGCATACTGATGAGATATGAGGACCGTGGGAGAAATCCAGGTGGCAGGAATTGAAGAAGAGGAGGCAGGGAGAGAAGACAAGAGGAAAAATGATGACTCCATTCAGAACATGCTAAATTTGAAGAAGCAGAAGGCAACTAAGAAAACTGGGATAGGCAACAATTTGGGGAAGAGATCAGCACGAGGGGACATAGATTACAGAGTCATTGTGTCTAGATGATTTGAGTTGATAAAGCACCACTTGATAAATAAGCTGAGAAAAGAATGGTGGGTTTCTTTATGGGGTGATAAAAATGATGGTTATACAACTTTGTGATTATGCTAAAAAAACACTGAGTTGTACACTTTAACTGGGTGAATTGTATGCTATGTGAGTTATATCTCAAAGTTATTAAAAAGGAAAAAAAGGAGAGAAAGGACCCTGAAGAATGGAATTAGTGGAAACCCACTACTCTTTTGAGCAACTGAGTAACTTCTCACAACTTCTTAATAAGACAGAGGGGAGGAGTCAAGAGAAGATAACGTTAAGGCTTTCAGAACCTAAGACTTTCCTACAAATAATACACAGGAGGACAAATACCTAGTGGATTTCTTCTGTAGTGAAATGAGCCTTCCCCAGAGTAAGTAGGCTGGAACACACTTCCCAGCTGATGTGCGAGGACTTGATTTATATCACGAAAGGAGATCTGCTTGATATTCATCAGCTTCGCACAGATCTTATGAACAGCATCATTCTCATGGACAAGGAGGGCGTCTGAAGATCGGTACAAGTGAGAAAGAGTCAAAATGGAGTTGTAGTTCTGAACAATAACCTGGAGAGAAAAAGGCCAGAAATACGAAAGGCAGGAGAGAGAGTGGTTAAGAGGGTACGTTTCTAAGGACATCTTGGCCTGGGTTCAAGTCCCAGCTCTGCGCTTTCTAGCTCTATGATCTTCGACAAGTTATTTAATCTCTCTATGCCTCAGTGTTGTGTTCTCATTTAAAAAGGGGATAATGATTATACCAGCTTCCTGGAGTTGCAAGAACTAATGACAGAATGCAAGTAGAGCACTTAGAACAGTGCCTTGTATATACTAAGAGCTCAATAAACGGCGACCATTACAATCAGGCTTTCTTCTTACATCATTTCCTATGATGACTTATTTCATTTCCGGTTTTATTATTTCTCCTACGAGGCTGATCAACAGGAAATTGGCCTACAGAGAAATTTCCTTTCAATGGAAAGAAGTGAAAGTTCTTTGGAGGTTGGCAATGGTACAAAGTCAAGGTCCCTGCTTTACATACTGTAGCCAGAGGGACTAATCCAGGAATGGATTTCTGAGAGAAGATGCACAATTGTCTTCCTTGGAATTTTTAAAACCAAGGACACCTCATTGTTTGGGAAAGTTTAAGCAAAGTTAAATGAATTGTTCACAAAAGTACCATATTGTATAATCACTCCCGATGCAGTAACTTAACATTACCAAAGAAAGGATGGCATCAATCTCTTACCAACATTTGTTTTAACTGCAAAGAATACAAAATATAAAATTTTCAATTGATATGTTCATACCTCACCAGTTCCATAAGGCCATATAATCTGATTCATTTTCAAAGAATTTGAGTACTGATCTTGTAAGTTCTGTGTAAGGAAGGCTCCCAGCCCTGATCCTGTGCCTCCAGCCATACTCATTACGATGAAAAAACCACTCAAAGAGTCGCATTTCTCCACTTCCTTCTGGATGAGGTTCATTATAGATTCTTCATGCCTGGGTCCATGGACAGAGTAACTATGCAATGCAAAAGAACAAAAGACAAACATCTTTCAACCTAACCAGAGAGATGGAATGCAGAGAATGATATAAGATACTGAAGGCTTTTTAAACCTAAAGAAGTGAACTAACTCTCATGAAAGGTGTACGTACTCTGATTGACAAAATTTAAAATATACAAGTTAAATATTTTTTAAAGTCTTTTTTTTTTTTTAATGGAGGTACTGGGGATTGAACCCAGGAACTTGTGCATGCTAAGCACGCACTCCATCACTGAGCTATACCCACTCCGCAAGTTAAATATTTTTAACAGGTGAATAGGACATCTAGGTGAGTGAATTTACTGGGAATAAAAAATTCTCTTTTATAGGCCATTCCTTTGGCTGCAGACTTCAATTACTATGTAGTCCTGCAAGTTTATGGTACAACATAATATTCAATTTTCATAGCAATACTCCTAAAGCAGTGGTTCTAACTTCGCTGCACATTAGAATCACCTAGAGAAGCTTTAAAACATCCCCACATTCAGATTTCATCCAAAATCTATTAAAGCAGAATTTCTGGAAGTGAGTCCTAGGCATTGGAATTTTCCAGAAAACCCTAAGCAACTGTCTTGTCATATTCCCTAGTAACTAGAATACCTGCCAGATAAAGATATTGTACTGATAATAAGTTAGCTGGCAGAAGGACAGCGAAGAAGTAGAAAACCCTGCTGCAAGAGAGTCTTGATTTCATCACTACCTGGACCTGAAGTACAGACATACATGAGACAGAATGAGCATCTTCTGGACAAAGTCACACTCTAAATTTTAAAACGGCAATTTCAAGATTATGTGTTTCATACATAACCACTGTGCAGCTGTAAATACACTATTAATTGACTATGCAGCTGTATCTAAGTGGAAAATCATGAGAAATTATTCTTACCCATATGCCCAGTTGTTTCCAGAACCTTGTTTTTGACAGAAGTGTGAATGCTGGCCATATTTCCAACGGCCAGAATGGGCAGCCTTTGACAGTGTTTGATTGATAACTTTAGGTTCCATGTCAACCAGTACAGCACGGGCAACTGGAACTAGAGAGGGGAAAAAAAGAATCAAAAGAAAAATATTTCATATGTCTTATTTGGGTTAACTCAGAGCATAAACGTCTATATCCAAAAAAGAATTTTTCAAAGACGAAGGTAGAAAGAGCTGTTCATTCTGCTTAGAAATTGAAGTGGGAAGCAGCAGGTGTATGCAGATGGTTCATAATGCCTGGCATTCTGCTAGGCAGGTTGAATGAATGTGGACTAAAATGATGACTAAGTCAAGTCTACAAACATCTGCTGAGTGCTTACAATGTGCTATGTGCTGTGCTGGGAATACAGGGATGAAGACATCAATCCAGCCCTAGAAGGACCAGTGGGAGAGAGAAGATGCATCAACACTTAATCACAGTATGATGTGATACGACCCTCAGCAAATCTACACTAACAGAACAGCATATTCAGAGGTACAAAATACCAGGGGCACAATAAGCAGCTCAGGATTGTTGAGGCAGAAGATGGAGAAAGAGGGGGCATGAGAAGTGATGGATGCGGATGGGGAGCAGGCAAGGCTCAGATCTTGGAAGCCCTTGCATGCAATGCTAAAAAGCTTGAAATTTACTTTTTAGGTAATGTGAAACCACTGAAAATGTTCAAGCAGGGGAGGAATAATCAGATGTATTTCTCAGTACAGCATTTGGAGGACAGATGTGACAGACATAAGAGACTAGGCAGGGAAACTCAGGAGTGTTTTGAAACAGTCCAGGTGAGAGAGGACAGAGCCCAAACTAAGGCAATGACAGTGAAGACGGAAAGCAGAGAAGAGTTATAAGAGATATACAGGAGGCAAACTAAGCAGATTTTGACATTTGATGGTTTGTGGACAGGAAGAGCCAAGTTTCAAAGGAGAGATAATGAATGCCCTTGAGTATGGAGATGTTAAGTTTGAGGTACACATGAGAGATGCAGGTTCACTAAGCAAGGAGAGGCCACACTCGAGATATGAGAGTCACTAGAGTAAAAGATGTAGCAAAATTTGACAGTAACTGAAATTGCCCAGAGAGAACTATACAAGTGAGGACAGAGGAGAGGCTGAGCTGCAACCACTGGACAAGAAAAGTTCAGAGACTAAGCAGGAGTTTTAAGCAGGGAGTTTTACAGTTAATGTTATCAAATCCGGTTAGAGAAGTTAAGTGAATTAAGAAAAGAAAAACAGTCACTGGATCTGGTAATTAGGAGATCATTGGGAATTTTTCATAGAATAGCTTCAGTGGTGTTATAGGGCAGAAGCAGAATTAGAGTTGGTTAAAGAAGGTTCTCCTTTGAGAATCTTAGATGAGAAGCCAAAGAGATAAGAGGAAGAAAAAAGCTTATGGTCAAGAGCTAAGTTTTGTTTGTTTGGTTTTATTTACCTTTTGTGGGGGAGGGGAGGTAATTAGGTTTATTTACTTATTTTAATGGAGGTACTGGGGATTGAACCCAGGACCTCATGCATGCTAAGCACACACTCTACCACACTGAGATATACCCCACCGCTGTTTCGTTGGTTTTAGATTGGAAAGATCTGAGCATGCTCACATGCTGAGGGGAAGGTGTCAACAGGAGAGGCAAAGAATCTTTAACAGAGAAACAAAAGGCTGAGAGCAAAGTCATTCCCCAGTAAGATGGAAGAGGATGGGATTCAGACACCACCTTGAAGAGGCTGGTTATGTCAGAGTAAAGGAGAGGACTCTGGACCACACATACCTCCATTTTCCTCCTCACTGAAGAATCTTTCTTTGCAAGATGCTTGATATGCCTCATTCTCTCTTTTAGAGCAGAATTTCTGGGGACAGTGTGAGTCACTAAATAAAGCATCAAACACTTCAAAACCAATCTGATTGCCACACTGGCCAAGTTGCACTGTTACTATTGACATACTGAGACACAAACTAGGCCTATCTCCTCAAAAAAGTGAGCAACCTGTAATAGAAAAAATACAGTCTTTGAGAACCACTACATTAGTAATAAAGAACAAAATGCTATATATTTTAATATACATTAATAAAATATAATTTTTAAATACAAAGAGGCATATAGTGTTATAGATAAAATAGCTATGTTGTCTAGGAGCCAGTCATTTAAGGAAGTTGTACTTTTTCTCCAAAAGGTTTTGGGATTCGGGATTTACTGTACCCAAATCCATTCACACACAACTCAAAGGCTTCCAAAATCTCATTTGTAATCGCTATTTTCCTAAGCATGTATTTAAAATAAACAAAACTAATGTTGGTTGAAGGAATTTGTAGTATACACTTCACACCAGAGGAATACTTAGAATGCAGAAGTTAGCTCTACAATAGTATATTTAATTAATACTAATTTTCTTTCTTCTAAATAATGACTTCCTCTCTCCACCAATCGCCTTTCTGTTCTGGTAACTACAGTAACACGTATGAGAAAGACTTTGTGTTTAGCTCAGGTAGGACAGCCAAGGAAGACGAAGCTTGGGAAAAAAGGAGACCAGATGAAATATTAGAGCAAGTATTCACTACTTTTAACAATGAGAAGACAATTTTTGGCAAAGACCTCACACCGGCTCTATGCAGCACTGCAAAGAGCAGTGGCTTGTGAGCCAAACTCTACTTAGATAATCAAACAACCCTGCAAAATAGGTATTTATTTCCATTTTACAGGTAGGAGGCTCTGAAAGGTTAGGTGACTTTCGCAAGGTCACTCAACTAGTAAATAGCAACGTCAAGAGTCTCCCATTCTACACAGCCCCACGAGTTCCCCATTAACCCCACTCACTGACAGCACCAGGACCAGCCGTTTCTGTCCGGTTCAAACTTCAGAACGCCTTCCCTCTCACTATGCGCATGCTCACATTCAATGGAAAAAAAAAAGCTACAGACTACGAATGCGCATGTTCTACAAACGGAGAGATTTGTTGTGGGTTTTGGGCTGGGGGGAATTTTTTTTTCTTTTTTCCCTATTCAGAAAGGCTAATTACGCATGTTCGATGTCAATTTAGCTACTTCAGACCTGGTACGCATGCTCACTGTCCATCAAACGCTTTAGCCGACAATGCGCATGATCTGGCTTCCAGCAGCGGCTTCGGCTGGGCTTCTGCGCATGTTTCTGCCAGTACCTGGTTCCTGGCAATGGTTCTACGCATGTTCACTGACCACAGTTCGGCTTCACAGACTCCTGTACGCATGCTCCAGCGCTGAACGTGAGGAGCCAGTCTAGGGCCTAGGCGCAGACGCACTGAGCCCCAGCGGCCGGTGATGGCGGCAGTGGCGGCTGTGGCTGCGGCGGGTCCGGGCCCATGAGGCCACGACGGAGGCGGGACGGCTTTTACCCAGCGCCGGACTTCCGAGACAGGGAAGCTGAGGACATGGCAGGGGTGTTTGACATAGACCTGGATCAGCCAGAAGACGCGGGCTCTGAAGATGAGCTGGAGGAGGGGGTGAGGCCCGGGGTCCCGGGGGGCCCGAGGTGACAGGGCCAGGGCGGCGGCACGGGCCCTGGAAGCCCGGTGCGTCCGAGAGCGGGGAGACCCAGGGGGGCGCGAGTAGTCTGCGGGAGGAGCCGAGGCGCCGCGCGGCCCGAAGCAGGGGAGCGGGCGGGGCGGACCTGGCCCTAGGTGTGAGGCCGCTGCGGGGCTTGCAGGTGCAGGTCGCGCCCCCAGCCCTAGATCAGCGCAGCCAGGATCAGTCTGTCTGTGGAGGGAACGAGAAAGGGCGCGTGGTCGATTCCTGGAGCTCTCGGACTTGAGTGTGACCGGGCGAGAGTGGTGTTAAAGGTGTGTGTGTGGTTGGGCGGGGGGTGGTTGCGCTTGCTGAGTGTCCCGTAAGTGCAGGTGAAGTGCGGAAGGGTTTCCCTTCGAGGGTAAGATTTCAAGTATTAAATCTTCAGACCTCCCACAACCACCTCTTTTCTCGGCCTGTCGCTTCTCTCCTAGGAAGCGCTCAGCTGTTAGAAGTGACAGCTGAAAACTTCTGTCGGGAGTAGCGCTGCCGCTGCTGTTACAGCCACCAGGAGTTTTATTTCGGGAGCAAGGGGGCTCTGCTGCATCTTCCAGGGTTTGTTTGTTTGCTTTTTTTTTTTTTTAACCCCCTTCCGTGTGACTTAAAAAAAAAACCATTTATAACGACACACGGCATTTGTAATTTACTTTTCCCCTAGTTGAAGATGTCTATATTTTTTCAAAATACTTGATGTAATTTTGGGGCGGAAAAAAACCAGCGTTGACAGCTGTGATTTGGCTTGCCAAAAATAAATTGCTTGAACTGAGACTTGTGAATGGTGGTGTGAGGGCTTTCCTTGCTGTAATTTAGGGCGCTAAATTTAGAACTGTTTTTCCTAATGCATAGCTTGGTTTTACCTTTGCTGTCTTAGTAGTTTGTTATTCTTTATTCAGGATATTTTTTTTTCAACATAAATTGTGAAAAATCACAAATTGTACCTGACGTTCAAAAAATGGTGTTGTCATACTAAATCACTGATTCTGGGCAAATGATCATCAGTGATAACCTCATGGTAATTTAGATTCTAAATTCCATTGTCTAGATAAGTACATGGCTGATGTCAGATGTTTGCTGTAACTACATATGGGGCTTTCCTTTCTTTTCCTCACCCGATTTTCCTCTGGCAAGTAAGTTTTGCTCTGCTTGTTGACAAAAGACTGAGATGCTATATATAAAAGAACTTTGAACACTTGAAGAAACTACATGGGCTAAAATACTGTTCTTTTCATAATCAAGTGAGTCTAAATCAAAACCAGACAGTTTGGAAGGTGGGTATTTAAATGTGTACTTTTTAATATGTTTGCATATGGAAATACAGTTAGCTTCTTAATGGAACATGTGATACACTAATTACGATTTGGAAGAAATATGGGATTACTTTCATTATGTATAACATGCACTAATCAATTATATTGGTTCCATATGGCAGTGGCTTTGGAGCAGAGCAGAGGGGAAAACAGGATAGAAAGGGTGCTTTATAAAATCTTCATCAGTTGAACTGATAGAATTTACAGACCATGGATTTATTAGGGATTGGAAGTAAAATACTGTATTAAGATTCCTGTTATGAACTGGGATCTCTCCTGGACATTTGTTTTTCTGGGTACAAGCAAGTAGAATTTGGGGAGGGTGTGCAAGAGGAGGCCAGGGAAATTGGTGGAAATAGGAAAGAGAAAGAAATGGGGTCACTACCTTGGGGAGAGGAGCTTTGGGGAAAGAGCAAAAGTAATTATAGAGGATTTTGAGGAAGAGCCTTCAGCAGAATACATCTTACTTATGGAGTTGAAAATGTTTGTTTTGAGTGTTTTATTCTAAGAAGTATAAGGTGGACAAGCAGAAGGAGTTGGAGTGGGATTGGGTTGGCCACCCAAGGAGATTCAGTGACATCCAGGTTTACCTAAAATAAAATTTAAAAGTTCTGAAAAAATGAGAGAAGTTTAGATTCTTAGAAAGTCTGGCTACTGTGAATGTGCAATAATATAATTAATATTCTGGCTACTTGTGAATTTATATCCTTTAGTACACAAATGTTTTTAAACATTGATATGTATCAGAGTAGCCTCGCTTCTTCAGTTTATAGTAAGGAAATTGAGGAGAGAGAGTATAACTCAGTGGTAGAGTACGTGCTTAGCATGCACAAGGTCTCGGGTTCAATCCCCAGTATCTCCATTAAAAAATAAGTAAATAAACCTGATCCCCCCCCAAAAAAAAGAAAAAAAAATCTAATACAGTAAGGAAGCTGAGGCATCAGCCAGAGAGAGAACTGTCCAAGACCATGGAGATAACTAGAGGTGCTATCTTCTCAGTTCATCGAACTTCATTGCGTAGCTTCTTCATTGCATTTACTACTCTTGTTCATAATGTATCTGTTTGTGGTGTGTCAAAAGTGAATTCAGGTCCCTCCAGCCATGCTCATCGACTGTGTGATCTACAATAAGTCGCTTAATCTTTGTGACACTTTTTTCATCTCTGTAAACTGAAGATTACATGCGATCAGGTATATAAAGTACTCTCAAAATATCCTGGCAAATTAAGCAGTTAGCTAGTTTCTGGAAATATAGCTTGTCAGTGTTACTCATTGCCAAGGAACCAATCATTCAAGTTTACCCTCATCTATGCCTAGAGACTTAGTAATAAATGCAGTTATACTAGAGGTGCTGCATTTTTAGAACTGTACTTTGTTTTTTTTCTTTCCTTCCTTCCTTCTTTCATTCCTTTCTTTTTATCATTGGCCTTATTTAGAGATATGTTACAGTGAGTACATCTGTATTAGTAAATATATACGTTTACATAGCATAGTTAATTCTTCAGTGAGATGAAGAGAGTAAATTAATACATTTTAAACACTATATTAAAACCAGTGGATGGTATGGTTTTTTTTTTTCTTTTTCTCTGGTGATGGTATAATTTGGGGACAGAGTTGAAACTAAGGGAAAATTTTCCTCTAGAGATTTTCGTTAGATTAAGAAAATGTTGGAAACCTCTACTTTTTGTGGAGACACAAAGTTAAAAAATTGTTACTGCAACTTTAAAAAATCCTTACTCTACTAATTCGAAATTTTTACTCTACCAATTCAAAATTTGAAATCGTCACGGAGCGTTACTGCACAAATTACGGATTGGGCTATTAGGTTTTTATTGAGCAAAAAGTTTGAAAATTTTTAGTATTTTGCAAAACAGTGCTATACAGATAGTATGTTCAAAGAATGTCTGGATTGGGGATATTTTACCTATTCGGTAACAATTTATTTACATTTTTATAAAATGTGCTCTTTCACTGGGACTTTAGGCATATTAACTTTAATTTATATACAATTTTAATTTAAAACTTTGTGAATAGTCATTGTGGTGGGCTAGTCTGAAACGGTGTATCATGTGTAGTACCTTAGATTAGGAAGATTCGACTTTGTCAGCCATAGTGGCACACATAAAGCACCGCATGGGTCAGGGCAGTAGAAAAAAAAAACCTGAATAGTTTCCCGTGAAGGAAGGTGTCAGTATGTATTATATTAAAACTTAATGATTCTGTTGTGAGACTTTCTAAAGGTAGCATTTAGTAGCAGGAAAGAATTGTGCCTCAAATGCTTCTGTTCCAAGAAGGTAACGGTAGGAAGTCATAAACCCAGATGCAGGTGGTAATACAGGCCTGGCTGGCTCCGGAAATGAAACATAGCCACGGGGCATATCTTTCTAGGTGGCTTCAAAGTCATGTAGTTTAGTGTTAACTACTCTGTGGTCTTTAATTAAGAATTAAGTGAAATGAACATTAAAGAAAAAATAATTATATAATACCAGTTTTATAGAAGTTAGTTTTTTGTCTTTAAAGTGAAGCCATCATAGGTGATTGTATGAAGCACCAGAGACCAAAAAAAAAAAACAAAAAACCCAAAAACTACTTATAGCCACAACCACCCCTACCTGCCCGTCCTCACACAGAAAAGAAACTATCAAGTTGAAACTGCAAGAATTTTTTTCCCCTTGATACTGCCCCTCCATTTGCCTAGATCTAATCATGAAACATACATGGCTGGTGTTAGACATCGTCCTGACTTGTTTACTCCCTGAGCAGGTCTGACTAAAATAAACTTGGGTTTTGTGGGGGCATTTAAGCATCCATTGTGTAAGAATGCTGTCAGTTTTCTTTGTGTATCTTGACTGTGTAGTGGTATCTTTGAAGAAAGATGAGTCCATTTAAATTTTTTTTGAATTGTTCTAAAATTTTCAATAAAACCTTTAATCTTCCTATTTTCATTTAAGTGATACACTTTCATGTAAATTGAAAGAGTTCATAATCAGACTGTATTTAAGAATACTCATTTTAAAGCTATAGTTTGTAATGCTAAAAACTGAATTTCTGCTGTCAGGTTACCATTTTTTTGTAAAAATTCTGTGACTTTTCTATTTATAGAGTTGTACAACCACACCTTAGTTTAATTTTAGAACGTTTCTGTTGCCCTCAAAAGAAACTTTAGGCCAATTTACAGTCTCTCCTCATTGCCACCTCCAGCCCTAGGCTATACCACTGGTCTACTTCTCATCTCTGTGAAT